GGGGGGGGGGGACAGGACTAGGAAGAAACCTCTTGCCCCCAAAATGGGCTGGGAATGGAACAAGAAGGAATGCACCAGCTGAGCCTCATATAAACCCACATCAATATTCTGAAAGGGAGACACAACAGAGCAAAAACAGGTTTAGTGTTAGCTTACTGTGGTTTAAAAAGAAGTGCCTTTTCCCCCATTATTTCAGGAATCTTATGTCTGGAAGATGTACCAAGAAAGGTGTTGGGATTTCTTCCCAGCTGGTGACTGCTTTCGGAAACAGTACGAAGATCAGCTTGGATAAACCTGAATGAGAGAAACTCCATGATTCTGGACTGTCACTTCAAAGTGAAATTAAACCCTCTCTTACACTTCTGCAACATTTTTGAAAGGTGACATTCTCCAAATGCCTCCCTTACAACAAGAAAGTGTCTGTTAAAAATCTGTGTAAAAACAAACCCAAAAAGGAGCCACCAAAAACAAAAACCACAAAAAAAATATGTGATATTTTGGAATTGATTTGCCTAATGGATATACCCTGTGGGAGATAACCTTTGAAAATGTTAAATCAAGGACTCTAGTTGAATGCCTTCAAGTTTTTCAGTTCTAATGTAACTTGTTTGTCGGGATGGCATCATTGAGAAAAGGACTACAAGTATGAAGTCGTGAATGCATAATACATGAAATTTTAAACACTTGAATGTCACATGACAGTTTCTACTGGTGACTCATGGTCTGAACTACAAAAAAAACTCATTTTAACTGCAGTCTAATTTTTCCCATGGTACTTGCTAGTGAATGTACCCAGAATTAGCTTGAAAAGCTTTAAGCAGTTAAAGAAATAGGGGAGAAAAAAAAAAAAAAAGCAACACTTTGTCAACACTGAACTATCGATTAAGTGCCTTAAAACCTCTTTAGATATAGCTATGCAAGTTTTTTATGTTTATGTTCCAGGTGGACACTTCCATAAAATCGCTGTGTCGATCTTCTGTCTTTAAGAAGCTGCACTTGAAGGTTATTCATATAATTGTTTTTCAGTAACAGCTTGTCAGTTGCTGTTATTAGAAGAAAAGTACTGTACTGAAATCTCAGAAAAATCTCAATCCTATGCCAAATTGAGTAATGCTTTATGGTCCTTCGTAAGTAGTGGAGCTGCTATGTTTAGGTGAATCTTAAATAAGATGAAGTGCCCACTGCAATAAAAGTAATACGTGCCAATCTGTGGTGTGGCCTCTTGTAATGCATCACTTCTGGGTGATTCTACAACCACGCTGTGACTGCTAGGAAAAGGGACATGACGCAAATGGCCTAAAACCCCGCACAAAAAAAGAAAAACTCCATAGACCAGCATTTGTTTTATTTTGGCCAAACACATGCCTTGTTGCTCGCTCTCCTCAGCAGCAGCATGCACTTGCTAGAAACAAGCGCCATCCGGTCTCCTGCCCTTCATGAGTCTCTCAGATTACTAAACCAGAGAAAAATGCAGCGAGCCTCTTAAATGTATTATTGTGGATGTTGTCAAACACAGAGGTAGGTGTTTACTGGGTAACCTGATGGAACACGCTGGCTTGGGGCAAGCTTGTAAACCAGCTGTTCAAGGACAGCCTTGGGCCCATCCTTACTTACAAAGCAACCAAAATTGGCTCCAGGCACTTTTTTCCATTTTCTCTCTTTTTCTTCTTTTGTTAGGAAATCATGCTGTCTAACCAGTCTTCGAGCTCTTCCTCAGTAACATTTTTTGATGTGCTTGGTTGCTCAGGTTCCACGCCCTTTTCTTCTGCCACAGATGGTTTTGCAGGAACTAGGGAAACAAAAGCAATGTTAACAACTTCACATTAGTCCCAAGACTGAGGGCAAAAACATCCCTGGGGTTTGCGCCATGATATAATTCAACCATAATTATTACTTTGCTTACAGCAAGGGGAAACATTCTATTATTGTTCCTATTCCCTAAGAAGATACAATAATATCTAAACAAATTAATAGAATAGAAATTGGCTTCTCTATTTATTAAGTTAAATTTCGCAGTTCACTAGGTTATTAAAAAGACCAACAGCTTGGTTTTCTTTTTACTATTGTAACAATCCTGGAAAGCCACTAAGGGCTCTTGAATGCAGTATATGGCTAAGGCCGTTGCCCTAGGTCTCTCCACATCAGATGGGCCACCACCTCACAGGACATGCACAAATGAGGATGTGTTCTTCTCTTGTAAAAAATAAGATCAAAACAGCAAGCAAGACACAGGAAAAGATGGTTAACTGGGCTGTTCACACAGTCGATTAAAAGGCCTGCTGCTGCACAGCTGAGGGCTACAAAGATCTTAATGCCTTTTCACAGCACAAGTTCAGTTCGCAGCCCCGGGTTTAACACTGCAGTCGGGCAGGTAGCAGCTTCGGAAGCCCAGCACCTTGAGAGGAATGTTGCCAGAAAGGCTGGCTCAGGGGAAGCAGAGATGTGCGCACAGAAATAGCTGTCAGTGGACAAAGCCAGATCGATGTCAGACACTGATGGGGATGTATGGGGATGTGATGCGGGTGAGGCTGTTCTCACAAAAGCACCAGAATCAAGAAGATACATAGGGAGTAAAATGAAGACCGTACCTCTTTCTTCTTGGGCCACATCCTCCCCATCTTTCTCAGATTCCAGGTCCTGAGGTGTCTGGTCTGGTGAGATGTTGTCTCCCGCTTTTACAGGCGCATCTAAATTAAGCAGCAGGTCTAATTCTTCTTCCAAATGGTCTGCTGCTGACTGCAGTGGGGAAGCGGGTTTCTGGGAAGCCTCCGAAGGGCCTGGTCTTGGGCTATCTTTACCGAGGTACATGGGGCAGCCGGCAGCCACAGATTTCAACTCAGACACGGACCCCTTTCCTCCAGGCCCCAACGGCCCTCTTAACTGCATGCCCAGTCCCTTGCCTTCATCACTTCTCTTTGGTTTCACCTGAGGAAGCTCTAAAGGAAGGGCGGTCTGAAAGAGAGGCATAACAACTGAGCTGAACATGTGGGTCCTGCCATATTTGCTTAAGCAGAAACAGAAGCTAAGGAAGCCATCAAGCTGTGGAGTAGGAAACAATTCAGACAGGAAGGTCACATGGGTCTCTGGTGCAGGATTGCCACAGCACCGCCTTTAATGATATGGGTAGATGTGGGTGACCTCACTGAAACATAAGAGGGCTGCACCCCCCACTCTGCCCACCTCAGCTCTGTGCTAACTCGGAGCTGAAATCTAAAGGGCCTTGTCTTCCATCAGGCCTGAGAAATGACAGTGCCATAGGTCCACCTGAATGTACACTGAAGTCAGTGATGAGTTAAACCTCTGTAAAAGGACTGAGAAGTAACTAGCAAACCAGATCTGTTCACTGTACTTAAAAGCAAAAATATAAAGGTGAAGGGCAAGCTCACCAAGAAGAAAAAGACTGACTCAGTATTCAGTGAAAAGTGCCAGACATGAAAGAAAACATACTATTTGTATTTGTAAAAAGCCAAAAACAGGCAAAACTGACCTTTGGTATTAGAAGTCAGGATAGTGGTTTTAGGGAAACAGTGGCCCAGAGCAGTGGGAGAGGGGTGGCTTCTGCAGTGCTGGGAACATTCTGATTGTTCATTTGGATGCCAAGTCCACGGGTGTAACTATGTTATAACTTAATAAAAGGTAAAAACTCCCAGGTGATTGTAATGCAGAGCTAGGCTGAGAACCACTGCTCTGCAGGGAGGCCTGGCACAACCAGCACAGCACAGCATCGGAGTGGACAGGTGCAGAATGAAATTCAGCTACTATTGGCGGCACCGTCCCCTATTTGTAGTTAAGCATCTTGAGCAGATCCAATTTGCTAATAACTCTTCAGGGCTTCTAAGATAGTATGACAGTGTGCACAAATTCAAATGCTCATATTGTCAGTGTGCAGGGCGATGCTGGGGTGTGGTCCTCTCTTCTAGTCCTGGAATAGCTTTGTTTCCAGACATCGTCTGGACCTGGGTGTCTGGCATTGTTTTGGTTTTTCTTACCTCCCCGCCAGGTTTCTGATGTGCAAACACAGTTGAGAATAACTGCTGTGCATCAGGGCACAGAAGGCAGGAGAGGGGTTTAAAAACAATTTAGGCAGGTTTTCAGTATTACTGTAGTTATTATACACCTTTACTCTAAGCCTGCCGCCAACTCGTCCTTCACTTCCAAATACACTTCCTGTTTCTCTCCTGAGTCCTGGGCGCCCCGTCACCTTCATCTCAGCGGTTCCCTGATGTGTTCTGTTAACCATTCCTCATTGTGTGGGACTAAACACATCAGAACCTTGAACACCCGGACACCCAGCAGAAAATGTAGCCTCTCTCGGTCACTGAGACAACCCCAGATACCCCCCACATTCCTAAAGAAGCCTCAGTGATCCTCATCAGAGGCCAATGCCATCCTCTCCACTTCTCCGCCCCTCACTGTCCTCCAGCCCTGAATTCCGCCTGCTGCCCTAAATGTGAGACTAGCAAGTGCAATAGGAACAGCATCACATTCAACTGCCGAACAAAGTTGATCATTTTAGCTGTTAGGGTTCTATTTAAAATTAGTACTGTCCAGGGTTTCACTTTAAAAAAAAAATTCAATGGAGCCACAATTAAATTTTGAAGTTCCTTATAGTACAGTCCTTGGGCTATTTCCTCTCAAATGCCATTTTATATAGATACCTCCCAAATTTCTACTCCCAGCGCTTAATTCTGAACTATAATTTGACTAATATTTTCACTTTGATATCTCAGAGGTACAAACCCATAATGTCCAAACCTCACCCCTCTGGTTACCACCTACCACTGAGTTGCACAAGCTGGAAAACCTAGAATAATTCTTTGCCTGCTCTCTCTCCATTTCAGTCGTTTACCAAGTCCTCTTAATTTTTCTTTTGAAGTATCCCTTTAAAGAGTCCAATTCTGTGCCATCTCTACCATCATCACCCTAGTCCAAGCTACAGTATTACTCACCTGGACCTGTGTAATAGCCCCCTAACTTGCCTCCCCTCATCTCCTCTCCTCCTGTAAGTGCAGTTTGACCAATAAGCACGCCCACCCCAACCCCGCAGTCTACTCTCTGTCTACAGCCAGCACGCTCCTGCTAGCTGCTGTTACCATAGATCTGACTGAATTCCAACTCCAATGTCCTCCTTTGGGTCTCAGCTTATCTGTCACTTCCTCAGAAAATCCATCCCTACTTACACCAGAGTAGACCAGGTTCCCTTTTATAATCCCACACTTACTTCTCCTTCATAGCAATTATCACAATTTGGACATTTGTGTGATAATCTGATTAAGCTCCACAAGGGCAGGCACCATGTCTATCTACTTGACCACTATGTCCTTAGTACCCAACATAAATATTGTGAGGAAAATACCAGCCAGACTTTATACTTTTTCATTCAACTCCATTACATTTGATTCCTTAAAATGTATCAAAAATATAAAAAATTTTTCAAAAAAAAAAAAAAAACACTCATTCTCCCTTAAAACTTTATAAAACGCTGATAAAAAAAAATATAACAAAAAAAACCCCTCAGCTTTATGAAAGGAAAGGCTGCGTCTGAGACATCCTGCCATGGGTTCTTTTTCATTCTTTGTCTTCTCCTACCCTAATCCACACCAGCTTGAAGATGCCATCAGTGTTTTTACCTGGACCAATTCAGCAGCAACATTGAGTCGGAGTGACAGAGGCAGTTCTTGAAGGGCTTGAACCAGTGACTCACAGTCCACATAAAATGCTGAATTCTATAAATAAGTAAATAAATAAGTAAGTAAATAAGAAAGTGGCACAGATCATACATGTGCATATGATACGTATTTCTGGTGGTGATGACATGTGACCTCCTAGAAATAAAAGAGCAGAAAACGAAAGTAACTAAATAAATCCCCTGGGATGATTTACATTGAGCTGGGAGTACATCAGATAATAAATCACAGTTGATGTGGTTATGTCTATCACCTCTGCATTAAGATGAGCAAAACCAAGAACCACCTTCTTGAGCCACAGATCACCCCTGCTGTCAAGAATGCATGGTATCCTGGAAACCGGACAGGACGCTCTTTTGTTGTTTGTTATTGTTAGTCCTCACTGGAGGATATTTGTTCCATTGACTTTCAAGGGAGGGAGGGACAGGGAGAGAAAGAGAAACATCAATGTGAGAGAGACACACTGATTGGCTGCCTCCCACATGCACCCAACCGGGGCGGGGAATCAAACCCACAACCCTTTGGCGCGTGGGCCGATGCTCTCACCACTGAGAAACACTAGCCAGGGTGAAACTGGACACTCTTGGACTTCCTGGCAAACTAAAAAATGGGTATTCAGTGAAATCTAAGTGGACACCTCCCTCAGATACAGGTGGATGACCCTCGAGAGAGGAGGGAAGAGCTGTCCAGGCAGTGAGCTGCGGTAGAGAGGCACAGCGAAGGAGCCCATGAGGTTCCTGCTAACCAGAGGGCAGAGAATGAAAGCCCACCCACTAGCAGTGTGCTAGCAGAGAGTAAGGCCAACACTAACAGCTCCTTTTGACCCCTCCCCATTCATAGAAGCCAAGTCATATCCATGCAATGGCCTCCCAAGTTGACAGTATTTGAAAAAACATTCCAGATCATCACATGGCTTAATAATAGTGTAACAGCTGCTTCTCGGTGCCCTGGCTGCCCAAAGAAAGGAAAAAATGGAAAGGTGGTTACAGTGACCACACATTAGAGGCAAACATCACTGACCAACTCACCTACCACTGCAACCACATCTTCTTCTATAATCACTAACTTTGAGTTAGAACAAAACCCAGGGCTCATCTATCTAGTCGAATCCTGAACGCCTCGGGCAGATGAGTTTATGATGCAGATGCATAGTCATCCTGGTGGGCTCAAGAAGAGCCCAGAAACTAAACCCAGACCCACTCTGACCCCCAATCCCCGCAACAGCAGTGCCCAGGATCGAAAGAAACAAGCTGGCTCTTCAACTGCCCTTCTGAAACTTTCCAAAGGTGGCTGGCTCTTAGGTAAGCAATGTCACCAGCACCAATTGTGCCCCTTGTGCTGGAAAAAAGGAACTTACATCTAAAAAGAAAAAGTATTTAGGGAACAGGATGGAGGGTAGCAAAGTCCTGATAAGAAAGTGAGCAATTCAGCAGGTGTCCAGGCCTTTCCTCAGCCCTGCACTCAGCACCTCAGTGCTGTGATCACAAGCAGTGTGGCCAAGTCTTTGTTCTCCAGTTTGAAGAGACTCACTCAACCCACTAGTAAGGAGTGATCCTGAATGATCAACACATGGCTAAGTCACTAAATTACAAACTGGCCAAGGGCTCTGCAAAGTCACACACATAGCCCCCCTTAATTCAGTCTACAAAAGAGCAAGAACTTTCCCTCTGTGACCTATTTGTTCTCTTAACTCCCTAGAGAACTGCTGAGACGTGCTGGGGTCTGGCTAAAAGTATCCAAACGTCCTCTGCCCTCTTGCATCATGTGCAATGTGATAAGAAGGTACATCATAAAAAATGAAGTTTGTGAGACCGACCACAGAGATAGGGAAGGGACAGCTGTGCTTGTGAGCCGCGTTCTGAATGATGGGCACTGGGCTGTGTTTGCTACTGGAATGTCTCCTTCCCCCACATTTCTAATTCCCACCATCACCCAAGGCCCAGCTGACACTGTACCACCTCCATGATGCCGTCGAGACACTTCGAGCCAACAAGGTGATTGCTCCTTGTCCCCTTGCAGGAGTACCAGAGCCTAGAGCCTGCCACCAAATGCTGCTTTGTAAGACTGTCCTTTTTTCATCACCACTTTGCCCCCTAAAGGGCTAAAGCTGAAAGCCTTAGATATAAAGGGAGCTGAATTGAATTGTAACAGTAAAGCATGAATTTTAAAATAGGTTTAATTGGAATAACAACCACGAATTAGCTTTCTGCTACATATTTTAAAATAATCGGTAGGTTATACTTGTCTGGAGAGCCCAGTCCCCATATCCACTTGACCAGCTGGAGTCACTTGCAGCTGGAGTCACAGCCTGGTCTGCAGGGCCGGAACACCCTGCTGCCTTCACTCCCGTATAATCCTAGGCTGGCAGAGGGAAGCCAGCCTCGACTGTTAGACAAAGTCCCCACACTCCCCGCCTCTGCCATCAGTGTGCACACAAGTCTGTCTGGGTGGTGAGAATCTGTAATCCTGAAGGCTCCTCTGTCCAGGAACCTTATTAGGCTCTGAGTCTCAGAGTCTGTGTAAAGGTACACTATTTGGTGACCAAAGAACCTGCTAGAAACTCCACTTTGCAGCTTTAAAAAAGTCTAGAACTGCTTTCCTTTTCTTTAGTTCTCCTTCTTCCTTTTCCAGGAGCAGTCACCATGGCCTTTACTCAGACTATCACACCTTCCTCAGGAGCTAGAGCACTGGCCATGTTCATGTTGGACTCAGGGACCACAGTACACTTGACAGAAGTGCTCAAATCTGGCACCCTTTTTACAAAGCTGGAAGCTTTTCAAGACATAGATTCTCAGGCCTCACTCAGAACTGGACTCTGGAGGGTGGACCTGAGAGTCTAACCTTTAGAAACCAGGCTTTCAGGATCTGCTGCATCTCACCCAGCACTCAACAGTCACTCAAGGAAGCTCTGCTGGATAAATAAGTCACTATGTCAACAAAAATGAAAAATGCAATGAAAAAAAGGTGATTAAAAAAAAGATGTATTTTTTCACCCAAAGAAGTTCTCCCACCTTCCTTCCACACATGTCTCCACACTGTCCAAAAGAAAGATGTGAAAATCCCACTCATAGACCTAAGGACAGCCCCCTATAGTGACAGGAACCAACACAGCTAAAGCGGAGACCCCAACAACCAGGCTACGTCTCCATCAGCCTGCATGTGAACTACAAAGAAACGAAGGCACATCAGCATGATGGGCTGGGTCCCTCTCCCATAAGGATGTCCTCTGAGGCCCTAACATGCCCCACTATCAAACTCCTACTATTTCCTCTTGCTCTTTATTGTCTTGTGCCACTGGTTGCACTGGGGATGGAGGGAGCATGAGTAGAAATGCACATATATGTATGTGTATACACACACACACACACACACACATACACATAAGCTCCTGTCTCTCAAGTATACAAGAAGAAGGATTTAACTGGGACAGAAAACAGTTTTGATGGGGAAATGGTAAATTCAGTTTCTGATGTGTCCTCAACTCAATATGTTCAAAATCAAACTCCTTCTTTCAACTCTTCTTTTGCTCCATTAATGCCATCACCACTCACCTGGTCACCCAGCTGGAAAGCGTAGCTCCACTACAAATCTCCCTCGTCCCTATGTCTCATATCTGGTCAGCGGCACATGCTACCCCGTCCTCTGCTGAGGTCCCATCTATCTGAACCCCTTTTCCACCCTCGCTGCCTCACGCTGTCAGGCCCTCATCCCTTCTCATTTACCCAACATAATCTCCTCCCTAACTGGTCTCCCAGCCTGCAGCCTCTGACCTCTTCAGTCCCCGCTTCCCAAAGGCTGAGGTCAAATCTAGCCATTTCCATTTTCCTGCTAAATAAAACTCTTATTAACAAATAATAGTCATAAAGCTAGTTTTGAGTGTTTCATCCATGTCAGGGACTGCACTATTATTGAATTTAATTCTTATTACAGCTCCAAGTTATATTTTATTATTAGTTCCATTTTACAGATGAGAAAACAAGAGAAGAAAAAGAGTTAGCCCAAGTCACAGAACAAGGATTCACACTCAGGTTTGTCTCCAAAGCCGAGGCTCTCTCCTACATGCTAATCTGCCCCAGAGGAAAATGAAGACCAAACCGCTGGTACCAACTAGCCCAGACCTGCCCTTGAAGCCTCCTCCCCGGGAAAACTACCCTCCAGCCACACTCCCCCGCCAAGCAAGGCCTGGCCCTGCAGCTCACCTTCTGTTCTCCTGTTACCCCCTCAGCAGGACGACCAGATCAGACTCATCCACAAAGGCCCATTCAAATGATCTTTTTCCCATGGTACTGCTCTCAGTCACTTCCAGTAGTTTTGAGTGTTTCATCCGTGTCAGGAACTGCACTAAAAGGCTTTTAGTGCAGCCCAGTAACTGTCTCTTTCAGAATTATGTTCATTCATTCATTACACCACTTATTTAATGTTCTACTCTTTTTCATTTATTGAATAAAAACATTTACTAATCATCTACTATATGTCAGCCACTAGGGTAAGGCGCTGGGGTGACGAACAAGCACAGTCTCTGTCTTATCCACCTTTGAATACACTGCGTCTAATAAAATATCCAGTAAATAACAGGTGCTCAGTGTTTTGATGAAGAACCTTAAAATTATTTGAAACTCTCATGATAATTGTAATTTTCTCTGGTTGCCAACATAGTTCAAAAGGAGATGAGCCCTGGCCAGTGTGGCTCAGTCGGTTGGAGTGTTGTCCCATGCACCTAAACGTGGCGGGTTCAATTCCTGATCAGGGCACATGCCCAGGTTGTGGGTTCGATCCCCAGTTGGGGCGCATGCGGGGGCATCCGATCAATGTTTCTCTCTCACATCTCTCTCCCTTCCTCTTTTTCAAATCAATTTTTTAAAAAACACAAAAGGAGTTGAAATGTGAGTTGTTTGGTTTTCACCATATTTGTCAGTGATGTCGGTTTGTCAGTTTTCAGCCTGTCCTGGAATTCTAAATTGTATGTGGGGTATGTGCCTGAAGAGACTCAAGCAAAGACAAATATTTTTAATTCTCAACTTTCCGTATAATATGTACTCTTTGCAAAGTGGCAGGCAGTCCTTTAACAGTAATTCCCGTCTCCTCAGTTTGTATAAGACAAACTGTCCATCCCAAGCAACTAACCACTTCCAGTGTGTGCACTGGAGATAAAATGAGTGTGTGCACTGAGCTGGTAGCAGAATGGGGAGAAGGGCGCCCCACCTTTGGGTTCTGCTGCTCCGCCACCTGAGGCTGCGAGCAGACTGTCTAATCACTGCACCGGGGAGCATGCCCTAGCCCCGGAATCGGGGAGCACCACCGAGCCACCACCACGTCTCTGTGCATCTCAAAGGGGCGAATATACCTGTTATCTTTCATAAGAAAAGAGTTGGTGAAATAGTGCTTGAAAAATAACCAAAACTCCCTGGGGAAAAAATATGGCATGAATACAAAGTGAATAAAATATTCGGCTTTATGGACTCACTGAGAGCCCTCTACGGTATTTGTTCCTATTCTATAGCTTTACTCTCCTAATTCTGGAAGAAGAGTTCTTTAAGGCCAGAAAGGATTTTTCTCAACACCAAAAACAACGTGGGAGGAAAAAAACTACTTGTCAACCCTAAGGGAAGGGGATTGTCACGGAAATGGAAAAGGGGGAAGCCCAAATGGCAGCGTATCCACTCAGAACCATGACTCGCCTGCCCCCGTGAACCCAGCCTGCGCGAGCAGCCCACAGGCGCGCAAGGGGAAGGTGAGCTCCAGCTCCAGCTCCGGGCACCCGCGACCCTGGAGCTCCCCGAGAGCTTTATGAGCGGTTCAGGTAACTCAGACTGGACATGAGTTGCCAAACTTTTCTACGTAAAGACTCTACCTCACAATAATACCCGCGGGGTCGGTCTTCGGCTTGACCCGCTTACCTGCTGTGGCCGTGAGGCTTCGCTGTCCCACTCCTTCTCCTCAGCAAACCGGAACTGCGCGAAGGAGTCCCCTAGAATCAGAAACGCCACTTTATGCAAAAGCCACAGGAAAACGCTCAGCTCTCCAAACCCGCTCTCCGAGGAAGAGCTCCACTTCCGAGGAGCTGGCCGTCCTGAATGCAGCGGTCTCCCCCAGTGGGGTGGTGGGCCCCGGAAACGCCGCGCAGCTGCACCTGCTGTTCGTTCCGTGCCCGGGAGGCCGCCGCCCGGGGCTCCGTGACAGGCGGCCAAGCAGCCGGGCCAGCAGGCACGGCCGCCTCCCCGTATCTCCCGTGCTTTCGAGTCTCTGCGTAAGGCCGCAAGGAAGCCAGCATTTATGATTCTGGGGGAAGGCACAGCGGGAAAGGAAGGGGAAGGCTAGGACTGAAGGGAATGCAACATGGCAGGCTTAAAATATCTCCTGGAGGCGAGGTCCTGAACCTCTCCCATCACTCCAACAATCACCCGCCTCAAATGTCAAGTGCAAGATAAAACTCACAAAACATGTCTCAGATTAGTGCCCGTGACCCGCAGCCCACTGCTCTGAGCGCTCTGAACACGGGAGAATGCGGGTGCGAGATGGGCATGCGGAGCTCTGGCCGGGCCCACCTGGTGTGTGTCTGTCTGGGTATCTGCGTCTGACAGCTAATTCTAAGGGAAGAATTACGTCTCTGCCTGGCTTTCAGGAGCCTCCAAACTGTGGTCCTGCCTCATTGGCCCACATTCCTTCCTGTTTATTCAGACTCCCTGCTCTGGAGTCAGTCCTGCTCACATCCCAAACGTCCTCCGCATCCCACACCGTCCTCATGTCTCCTTGACTCCTTCTCCCTGTCTGGAGGCCCCACACTCCCGCCACTTGTCCTCGATTTCTACGCCAGGAGCCCAGGCACAGCGCACTTCCTCCTGCTGTGACACCTCTCAGGTGATTTAACCATCTATTTGTCTTTATTTCTACATTAAGAGAGGGGAGGGGTCAAGAACACAAAATTAAAGAGACCGACAAAGATAAACTGAAAGATAAAACCTACATGCCCAGGCGGGGGGGCCCAGCTGGTTGGAGCAGGCTCCGTACCCACCAAAAAGCTTGCAGGTCCCAGCCTGGTCGGGGTGTGGAGGGGAGGCAACTGATGGATGTTTCTCTCTCTCCCCCTTCCCTCTTCCTCTCTCTCTAAAAATCAATAAAAATATATCCTAGGGTGAGGATTTAAAAAAAAAAAAACCTACACCAACCCCACCAATTTCAAAACACATTCACGACATTAATATCTGACAAGATCAAATTCAAGGCCAAAAGGGCCAAAAGCAACGTTCTTTATCATGAAAAAGGGTAAAGTCATTACTCCTAGTCATTGGCAAATCAATATGATCCATCAAAAATTATGATATAAAGATTCTGAACAATATAATTAATAAGGTCTTGCATATGGATGTGGATGCCTATGTGTATTGTGATATGTGTGGTTTCTTTGTAAATATCTGTGCAATATTAATTTTTAAAAAGTACTATTGAAAGGCCCCAAAAACCCCAATAAATCCTAAAATGTAACAGTCATACAAACCATAGTCTCTGGTGATAAACATTTGTACCACATATTGGCAAAGAGTTAACATCTCTTGCATAGAAAGAGCTTTTGTAAATCAATCAGAATAAAACCACCTAATAGAAAACAAGAAAAGGGGTGAGAATAAGAAATATGAGTGGCCAATATATGAAATAAATAATAAATGAATAAATTAAAAATCAACCTGGCTACCTGATATCAAACTATACTATAAGCCTATAATAATAAAACAGTGGGGTACTGGCATAAAAACAGACACACAGATCAATGGAACAGAATAGAGAGTGCAGAAATAAGCCCACATTTTTAGTCAATTAATATTTGACAAAGGACATAAGAACATAAAATGAGGTAAAGACAGTCCACTCAATAAATGCTGTTGGGAAAACTGGACATATACATGCAACAAAATGAAACTAGACCACCTTCTTACACCGTATACAAGAATATACTCAAAATTAAAGACTGAAATGTAAGACTTGGAACCATAGACTCTTAGAAGAAAACACAGGCAGTAAAATCTCGGACTTTTCTCTTAGCAATATTTTTTCTGATTTATCTCCTCAGGCAAGGGAAATAAAAGAAAAAAATAAATAGGACTACATCAAATTAAAAAGATTTTGCACAGAAAAGGAAACCATCAACAAAATGAAAAGACAACCTACTGAATGGGAGAAGACATTCACCAATAATACATCTAAGAAGGGGTTAATATCCAAAATTTATAAAGAACTCAAACTACTCAACACCAAAACAACAAACAATCCAATTTAAAAAATGGGCAAAAGATGTAAATAAATACTTTTCCAAAGAAGAAATACAGAAGGCCAACAATCATGCGAGAAGATGTTCAACGTCACTAAGCATCAGAGAAATGCAAATTAAAACCACAATGAAACATCACCTGATACCTATCAGAAGGGCTATCATCAATAAATCAACAAACAATAAGTGTTGGCGAGAATGTGGGAAAAGGGAACCCTCATGCACTGTTGGTGGGAAGGCAGGTTGGTGCAGCCACTGTGGAAAATAGTATGGAGTTACCTCAAAAAATTAAAAATGACACTGCCTTATGACCCAGAGATTCCACTTTCAGGAATATATCCAAAGAGACCCAAAACACTAATTTGAAAATATATATGCACCCCTGTGTTTATTACAGTGTTATTTACAATAGCCAAGCTATGGAAGCAACCCTAGTGCCCATCAAAAAAAAGTAGATTAAAAAGCTGTGGTACATATATACAATGGAATATTACTCAGCCACAAAAAAAAGAATGAAACCTTACCATTTGCAACATCATGGATAGACCTAGAGGGTATTATGCTAAATGAAATAAGTCAGAGAAAAACAAATACTGTATGAGTTCACTTATATGTGGAATCTAAAGAACAAAATAGCCCTCGCTGACGTGACTCAGTGCACCAGAGGGTCGAGGGTTCAAATCCCAGTCAAGAGCACGTACCTGGGTTGCAGGTTCAATCCCCAGCCCCACTTGGGATGCATGGGGGAGGCAACCAATTGATGTCTCTCTCTCTTTCTCTCACATTGATGTAAAAATCAGTGGAAAAAATATGCTCCAGTGAGGATTAACAAAAAAAACAACAACAAAAACCCAGTTGGTGTGGCTCAGCGGCTGAGCATTGACCTATAAACCAGGAGGTCACAGTTCGATTCCTGGTCAGGGCACATGCCCGGGTTGCAGGCTCAATCCCCAGTGGGGGACGTGCAGGAGGCAGCCGATCAATGACTCTCTGATCATTGATATTTCTATCTCTCACTCCCTCTACCTTCCTCTCTCTGAAATCAATAAAAACATACTAAAAAGAAAAAGTTTAAAAAACAAACAAAATAGAAACAGACTTATAGGTGCAGAGAACAGACTGATGGTTGCCAGAGGGGTAGAGGGTTGGGGGATGGGGTGAAAAAAATAAAGAGATTAGGAAGTAGAAATTGGTAGTTACAAAACAGTCACAGGGATGTAAAGTACACCATAAGGAATATAATCAACAATATTGTAATAACTATGCATGGTGCCAGGGGGGTGCTGGAAATACTGAGGGAGAATCACTTTTTAAAGTTATGAATGTCTAACAAACTACACTATGTACCTGAAACTAATATAAAATAATATTGAATATAAACTGTAATCAAAAAATAATTTTTTAAAAAGAAATTGAAAATGGCAATAAAATCAGAACTATTCTTTAAAAAACTCAATCCAGTAGATTTTTAAAAGTTAACCAAATAGCTAAATGCCTTAATCAGTGTTATTTTTGGCATTCCTGAGCTTCTGTTATAAACAATCCTGTGATTGCACAGATTACTATAACATATAATCAGCACAAGATGACAGTATTGAAACAAGGCATACTATATATATATTTAATATCTGAATATTTACTTTCAAATACAGGTAAGATTCCAACAATGGCTGTCTGAGAAAAAATGAGATACCTAAAACAGTTTGTTTACAGGTATCAAACTTCAAAACAACACAACTTAAAAACCCTAATAAATAAAGAATAAAGTGGCTTCTTTTGAAAAATAAACTTGTTAAAATGACTACTGAGGAATGTCAACCCCTCTAATCCTCTCACTGAACCCGAAGGAGCATTCAGACTTGTCGAAATGGTGAACCCTAAAATTAAGAATGCTTCTGGAAAACGTTCCCAAAATTTTTCCTCCTGAATTATAACATGACGTGCATGAAAAGGATGGTAGTGTTACCAAATGTGCCACTCCCATATCCTGTACATCAGACATGTGCACATGCGGAAACAACTGGAGACACTCTCTATGTTGTATGTTGAAGTAGGGCAGCACAGGACGTTAGCAGTGCATTAGGTTCTGCTCCTGCCTCATTGCCTTGCTGAGAGCTCCTGGTCTCACACTAACGGTGAAGCCGAATGAAGAAGTAGGGATTGGAAACCAGTAGAGAACAGTGACAGCCAGCTGTTGACGATGGAACAAATGGTGACGTGAGTGTCTTAGGAGTCATAAGCATTCAGAGTTTTGGTGGCACTCACCAGCTGTATATTCAGACAGTAATCACAGCACAGTGGATTGAACACAACTAGGAGTCATAAAAGGAGTACAGCACTTTCTTCCCTCTTCTTCAGCCAAAGATTAATTCCATGACTTATAAAAGGCTGTGGCTGCCTTGCTGTGTACTTAACTCATACAACATCCTCAAATGACAGAGGAGCAGCCAGTGCCTGTTAGACAGGCTGCTTGAACAACAGCAACAAAAACTCCAGAATATTCTACTTTGCAGATAAGAATATCAAAGTAGCAGGCCTACTAAATCCAACGATTGCTTATTAAGAACATAATTTACTCACTAGAATGTGCTAAAACGGGTGAGGTTGATGTACCTTGAGAGTTCACATTTTTCTTACATAATAAAGTTTTATATAATTCTATTTCAGCCACAATGCTGAGGTTGGTGTGGATGCAATGAAATCTG